TTAAGAGGTTTTGCATATAAGAACTACTAACTCGTCTCACCTTCAAACGTGAACTTGAATATAACAAGAAATGATGAGTTATGAAAGAGCAGGTATCCATAGTATTCACAACTCATTGTATACGGTGTAGTTTTACTTGTGTGATCCCGGTGTATAGTATGGCATATAAGAACAAACAACAAAATAATCTAATATGTTGAATTATTTCTCAACGTTTCGATCTTGCGTGGAAGATCGTTTTCATCATTCTTCCCGAATATTCCGTTGGATATTCTCGCACTGCATGTTGCATGTTGCATGCTGCATGTTGCTTAGCTGGATGACTGAGTGGATTATGATGCAGCTGATTAGTTGAAATAATACCGTTGTACTTCACCTTATCACACTCACGGGAAATAGCACTGAAGAAATCTAAACGGTGCATATTTCGACAAGAATTTAGGTGGAGAATGCTGAGACACCTTGGGAAAGTTGAGGGAATATGAACTGAACTCAGCTTCTCATTGACAACTCAAATCAACTGAAAAATGACTGTGTTATTTGAGAGTCAAGACAGTGTACACATCTTTGTGTTTGCTTCCTTCCCAGTAGACTTCTCCAACATTCTCAGTATTTTCTTTATATAATTTACCTGTACAAAGAATTGTAGTGAAGCACTTCTATCACACTATGCGTCATCGATGATGTCATGACGAGTCAGACTGGTTGTGTATAGGGATACTACAGATGTGTTTCGAAATGCATATGCATTTGCATGTATGAGACGACGATATATTACACTGGATAAGTAAATCATTCAACATTCTACCCATTTCCAGCTAACCTGCTCTATGCAGTCTACCGATAAGTAATGCATATTCAGCGTCGACTTCCTAGTTTGTGGTGCGAAAGGATAATGAGACACAATGATTTTGCTAGTGTTACGCAGTGTTTTGATTGAGAGGCTCCCGACCGTCACATCTCACACCAATCTGTATTTGAACTGTCCATCATTTCATTGCCAGTATTGTTTGGCATATTTTACTCCAGCATTCCGCATGGCAAAATACTTTGACTCTGATGCGAATAAATGTCACTGTGTAGTTTGACAGAACCGTGAGGAAATGTCAACGTGATTGACTGTGCAATCCTCCTATTTCAATAACCCTTCATTTTTCTCTCCCGTTTGTCCTCCAACTAGAGTGTATTAGATTGCTCTGTCTATATGAAGACCTTTCAAAATCTCATGAGTTTCAAGGCAGAAAGTAACAAGTTATTGTTCCACTTGTATAAATTACTCAAGTGATATTCTCTTGCATTTCTTCAAGCAGTCAATAGTGACGTAATATGAATGAAATGTTATGTGGAGACTTTCTGTACACCTGTCACTAATCACTTGCATCACAAATGCATGCAATTTGCACCACAACGAGTGGAATGTGCAAATGAGAGAAGTCATATTTTCTGATTACTCAATAGTGGAAATCAGCTATCCACCTGAATCTGTAAACACCGATGTCACGAAATGCGGTTTAGAGTCACTTAACTGAAGTCACTGTTTGGGATTTGTTGCTTAAATGGATTTATCATTTGCTGAACATTTACTTTAATTTTGCAGAAATTTTGACGGTTGGAAATCTTAGGCTATGGAACTTCAGATTCAGCGAGATGCAACATAATTTCTTTGGGGACCTCACTAGTTTTCACTTCCACATTTATCTTGAGCGTGGATGACTACTCAGGTTTAATGAGGGTCAACTTATGGATCATTCCATTTTTGACACACAGTACAACTAAGTAAATGTTCCACTGGACTTCAAGAAGTAGGCTGACTGATGACTACACTGTGGCGAAAGTTCCTTGCAGCATCGGTTAAAAGTAATTCACTGGTTGTATCAGTTCCGAGTCGGACTTACTAACTGCTTTGATTGAAATTTCGCGCAGTTGCATAGATCCTGCTGAAGAACTAGTCAAGCACTTACAGACAGCAGACATGTGCTAGCTACTCAGCTACCCGATAAATATTATATTTTGACCATAAAGCCAAGCGTTTAGTCTAGTTATGTAAGATATTGTTTCTCACCTAACCCACAAACGTTCCTCTTTAATTTCACGTCTCAACATAGACGTTGACTGGAGTAACAAAACAGAAAGTGAACAAATGTATTTTATTCCTACCATGGCACCCTATTTCCTCTTTGATGAACAAAATCTCTTTAATCACAGTCAAATAACATTGGTATTCTTCACACAACTAGAATGCTATTGATGAACAAATGAATATATATGAATGTCTTTCAGCTGTATCACGTGATTTAACTAACCCGAATAGCTTGAGTTTTACTTTAGCTCCTCTTTGATGACTTTAATTATTCAAACAAGATTAAGTATTTCAGTGTTGATTGTTTGATCAAATGTGATATGATTGTTTATTGATAAATGAGAGGTTTTTTTAAATTGATGTAATTCTGTCTGAGCTATGACTCGTAGCAAAAGCACGTGAATATTTTTTAAGGTGTGCGGGTTTGATGCTATGACATTTTGTGTGGATCGTGTGAATTATGTTTGGTGAATATATGGTCCAGGTTATATGATTTCACACAGTTATAACCAGTTGGTAGAAAGTCACTTACACAGATTGTACTGATGTTCATACCAATCAGCACTGTTAGTTGTCCACTTTTATCATGTATTTGTTAATGGTTTTCTATCAGTAGGTTGTTTTTTATGAACTTTATTCTGTGAAGACATGTCTCGCAGTATATTTATATCAACCCAAACGAAACAGTCATTCGTCAGTTAAATAACTGTGGTATATAGCTAACATATTTTTAAAATGAATCCCGCTTGATCTTTGACAGATTTATATGACGTTGCTGTAATGGTAATCGTAACTCCAATCCGCAGGATTTGCTTTATCCGTTACATAATGACTAGCTGATAAGTTGCATTGCCTTAAAATTTATACTTGAATAAAATATAAGCAATCCGCTTGAACTCAACTAACTTATATCAGTTATACTACAAAATTTCTCTTCAAATTATTCCTGCATCAATTCTACATTTATGGTGTTAATGTTGATCGATGAAATATAAATTGGTATCAGATTGCAAGTTGTTGACCAGTTGTTTTTTCAGGTACATCTGTTTAATTAAAATTAATAGTTATGGCTAAATAATTTACCGTATCAGCTTGTTATTGCAAGTTCATAGTATATTGTTTTTAACGAAATTTTATATCTTATTAAATAATCATTTCAAACCTTTATATCTGAGATAATCAGATCATCAGATGATGTGGTTCAGCGACTTCAGTCATTCCACAGATATATGAATGGTTCACATTTTCCCTAATTATCGCCATTCATAATGGGAAACGTTTTATTTGCAATAGAAAACCTATACCTTCTACCGTGTTTATTTCACCTACAACTGTATAGTCTTCTATTCTTGATGTTCATGTGAATTACTTTACTGACAAGTACTATCATGAAACTGTCAATCATTGTAATTCCAATCTCTATTTAGTATATCCATCAAACGTTGGGGTTAAAATTTTTGTCTTAAACATTTATCATTCTGGTGAAGATCACTTGCGAATTTATTTCATTTCGCCATTCTTTCCTACATTGTTTATTTCTTCACTTACAAATACGTTATTTTTCGCACACTGCAGAATTTTGCAGTAGATCATTGGTCTGAAAAATCTATCATTTTAAAAAAACATAATAACAGATGACCTATCCTCAATCTGACATAAAAACATATTGGGATAGAATATTTCTAGTAACATTCTGTTTAAATGTAATGTTTCTATTTCGCGTATCTCATTTATGTTAAATGTTATACATACTGCCTCTGAGAGAAAAATCTTATCTCTTGTATTAAACTTGTTATTCTATTATTTTACGAACGGTCATATACTCAGTTTTATGTATAGTGACCTGGACTTTTCAACTCACACTTATCAAACACAGCAGAAAGACAAGTTCCTCAACTGTCTTCCCCAAACAAGAAACAATTATGGTCGCTGTATCCTCTTTCTTTTTAGTATAATTATAATATTTTTGAAACAGTTAAAATTAATAAGTTAGGTAGATAAACGATAAGAACAGCAGGGTAGGAGCTGCCTTAATTCATACACTACCAACAAATGGATGCGAAAAATAAAAATTCAAAACAACATAGGTTCCATTCTTATTATAGAAGTGTGATTCTCAAAAGTTACAGATAGGTTTCATTAACTAACACTTATGAATACAGGAAAGGAATGCACTATCCTTCTATCAAATTGCTCTTAAATATTAAGCATAGACTTATTAAATAGCTACACTACTGAAAAAGATTTGGTCGAGTCTCAATAATAGTAAAACCCTAAGGTATACATTGACCAATTTATAACAGATAGCAAGAAACCTTACCCAAGTAGAAAAGACGCTGGTAAACTTTTATCTTTGCAGTTTTCTTGCTGATGCATGTATGAAGTAATTTAAAACTTCATTACTTCATTTCCATTTCGTTTGGCTTAACCACACTTCTTAGTCGACATTTCGTAATGATATCTTAGAAAATATAAAAGACAGTGGCAGACACGACTAAAAGTATATAGAACTCAGGAAGTTATGCATTTCCTATTCGAAATGACCTCTGAAGTTAGATTCTTGAAACGGGAAATAACTTATTTTGCCTCATATCCTTTTCCTAGGAGCCATGAGCTTTAACAATAAATACAATTATTTTGGAAGAAAGTTACTAGCAGACGTTTTGCTTCTGAGCATAAATAAAACAAGTATTGACGGTAATACATGAAAACCTTAGACCTTTTAAATAGAATCGCTACAGGTTACAGGGGAAAGCTCACCACTGTTTATATTTGACTTCATCATGAGTATGAGCATATTACGTATTTTAGTCTTTGTCAATCCTGCGTATACTTTATTTTGTCTGATTATGAATGAAAAAAATTATAAAAATGAATCCATTTCATTCTACCTCGGAAATATTTTTGCACTCGAGTGGAAATGATTGGCAATGGAACATTTCTTAGTTTACCAGAGATAAATCATAATCTTCATCATAATGTCAGTCCAGAGAACGTATCTTGTTCTGAAAATCGAACATTTCAGCTGTTTGACGTAAATAACAACTGAAATCCAGTTACATAAGTAGTGACAACAAGAACTCATCAGGTCTTTTAGTGCTGCTGTCTATAATTTAAACTTGAAACAGAATTTCGTCAGCTGTAGTGTATAAAATAAAAGGTTATATATTTTGGTCTTTAAGGCTTTATATGGAAAAAATTCACTTATCTGGGCTTTCCTACATCATTTAAACTATTGTTATATAACAAGGAAAATTATCAAAATCAGCTTTACCTTGTTTCATTATCAGCTTCCCGAAGTGGACGTGTCAAGGTTTATAAACTATAATATCACAGCTACATATATTTGGAAGTGTTTATTCATGAATTAGTATTGGAAATGAGCTACGTTTTGCTTCAATATTATTTAGTAATTATTGATACGTTTGACGATGAAACAAATAACAATCAACACTTAAGTTAAGTAGTCATGTGCATCAGAATATTAGTGTATTTTCTTTTCCCCTTCAAGATTTTAGCGTGCTTGTGAGTGTTTATTACTTCGATTTAAAACCTAATTGACTGTTATGGTTGAAGTGATATCTAATGAAAGAGAACAGATAATAAAAAACTAATACCTTCAACTAAATAATAACCACAAAGACAGCCTTTCTAGCTCAAAAATGGTTCACATACAAAGAGCATCAGCTGAGATTTTTGAGGACTCCATTATCAATTCCCAAATATAACATGAAAGAAACCCGTTTCATCTCCTTTTTGACTACACTTTGAACAAATGAAGTGGAATTCAGCATGATGTTTTACAAGAATCTGCTCTATCAGAAAATGTTTAAATTTCAAAGAAAACTAATCTCTAAACATCAAACAAATACTGAGGATTATATTAATTCTACCAATAGGGAAAACGTGAAATAGACTTATTTTTTAAGAAGCTAAAGGAATGGAAACATCTAAGTACTATTATCAACAAATCTAGTCAAATAGGTGGAAGTAGGAGTAATAGAATAATGATTTTAATAGTGACAGTAAATCAGAGTGCTAATATTCACTACTCCGAACTCAGACAACAAAAATCCTTTAGATAGGAGAAGGTTAGGCTAGAAAGAACGCAGATGTGTCATAAGCTATGGGAAAAAATAACTATAAATACCCTCAGGTAATTTTAAGGTTTATTTTCATACCTTAATACAATGATCATAACTATGATTTTCAAACCCAGCTGACCTTGCCATATTGTAACGTGACCATAGAAGTCTAGACAATAATTCGAAATCACTGCAATAAAAATCTGTTGTAATAACTTTCAGAAAAGCTTCTGAAATTGTACATAGGTCAAACTATCACCTCTTCTTCACACATATATTCAATTAAGAAAACCACTCCCAATATTTGGTAAAGTTGATCCACTGCCTAGATATTTAAAAATCTATATTAAAGGCAAAATGAGTTCTGTCTCAAGCAAAGAAAAATTTCTATTATGAATTAAATTTATATGACAACCTGAGGTAAATAACTGCTTTCACTACAGTATGAAACACAAGTTGATCTGGAAGTGATATTTACATTATTCCTTTAAGTTGTTAATAACTTGCAATCAGAAACATAATAAAAAAGACCACCATAGGAAGTGATTGTAAATGTGTATCGGTATTAGAAGTTTAAAACTTTATGTATACCACAGAAGTGTCAACATATTTATGCAAAATATTTGGAAGTATCTGATGGTAATATTTTTCTGCCGTATAGACGAATCATTCAGATACAACAGTTATTAGCCTAGAATTTGAAAATCATGTTTGACCGATGGATTGTTCCATTTACAACTCCAAATCCCATGAGACAATCCACTTAGTAAAGGATACCTAAGGGGTTTTAAGAGAAGAACCAGCAAGGTGACCTTTGGAAGGGCGATTACAGTTGGCGAAAAGTCTGTGATGCCTAATGCGTTGAGTTAACTTCTTGAAGAACTCCTCCTCTTTATCTGACCTAAAGTTCTAGAGCTAATATTTTGCACTAGATATAGAAATGACTGCATAGTTCCTAGTTTGATGTCGTGTCCTAGTATCTCATTTTCAAATGGAAGCTGAAATGCTCCGGCTAGAAACTGTGCAGTGTTTTTGTGGATAGGAGAACCTTGAAACAAGTAGTCCCTTTAATAAATTTCGATAACGCTATTAGAAGACAAAGATTATCTGAAAAATGTGATGTATTCGCCCAATACATTTCGAACAATCTGATCACACATTTACTTGTCAAGTCAATTTATATATGAAAATATAGTGAAAATGAAAAGATTGTGAGACTAGTCTTAGTAAAATAAACAGATAAGGATTACCAAGGTAAATTAAGTGAAACAATAAATTGTTTTTGTATGCACAGCTGGGCTTAAGTTTACAAATGGCTAACGCTTCGGCAAACTTCAGTACGCCCCCCGGATTATTCCTGTTTAATATCGTGAAGGCTGTTTTTGTATTAACCCTGTGATTCATTTCAATGGTATGTTTTGCTATAGATAATGATGGATGTCTGTCACCTGCCCTCAACAATATTTGCGCGTTTAAACTGCTTTTCAAGCCATTTGCGTATATGTTCACCCACAGTAGTCTCCATTGAACGAGTACTCCTCCCTATGTATGCGTGTCCACACATACACGTAAATTGGCAAACACAGTGGGATGTGACGTAATTGTTTATGCAAGGTTGAGGTTTGTGGCAAAACAGGTGTTTTGTCGTCTCAACAATAATAAACTGAGCTGCATAGTATGTTTAACTGATAACAGATTTTAATCTCTGCTTCAATATCATACTACTCGTTTCCCCCCTGTATGGTACCTTAAGAAATATGTTTTTCTTCCGGACGAGGAAACTACAGGCTTTGGGGTCAGCTATTTTTTTGGTAATCCTAATCTGATTATATTACTAAGACTAGTCTCACAATCTTTCATTTTCACTATATTTGACCTTTATTTTTCATATATAAATTGACTTGACAAGTAAATGTGTGATCAGATTGTTCGAAATGTATTGGGCGAATACATCACATTTTCCAGATAATCTCGTCTTCAGATAGGAGAACGTTTGTTTTTTGATTCACCCAACATTTAGACAAAATATCTCTTGCTTTTATTGAAGCTGAAAGTTCTTTTGTAGTCGACTTTTGTAATGCCATTTGTGGGCATCAACGAAGAACACTTCAGACTGATATTTACAGTGATATATTTCCCTATCATAGTCGTCAACCCTATGTGATGCTACAGTCTTTATTGGATAGCCTGACTATCAGTAAAGAAATTATCTAATTGCAAAATATTTAGTACGATGACATTGCGGTGAAGTCTGTAGAGTGACTAAAGCAATGGAAAATCACTTCTACCAAACAAGGCCTTTAACTAGACAGATCAGAATGACCAACACAAAACTTAGTCTAAATTTTGCTTCAGCGCTATCAGTAAAATAAGAGATGAATCTGAAAAATGTACGTCAAAGATATATACTCCTTGGAAGGTATAGTTCTGGTAAGCCAGTTTATTTGACTTATTGGGTATAAAAGTGATACATGTCCTCAGGCAGCACATGTAACCATGCAGTATATACAAACAGCTGGGAAATCCTCAAAATATCACCTGTTATAACACAAGGGGTTTAAATGCTTTTTATACTCCATTTCTTTCTGAGCCCAGCAGATTATAAATTACGATAAGATTAATGAGGAGTTGGCCATTATATGCTGGATCGAGGGGTCTAGGGACTTAGGATTCCACCAGTTGGCTGTAGTACAGTTACTTTGCACGCTTTTGTGAGTGAGTAACAAAAGGTTCTTTTGTTTATGACTATTGTGGTAGACTTTTCTGTTACTGACAATGGAACATATTTGTACAGCTTGAGATCTGCTGGCTAGTTTTACATAATACAATACTTTTCTTTGCTTTTTACTTCTATAGTTATGGACAGTAATGGATTTAGCCAATAAAGCTGTTGACCTCGAGGAAACGATGAATTCCAATGTAAACCATCTTGAATATGTTGTCAGACACTTGGAAGATGCTCTTGTTATTCGACAAAGGCGAAAGCGTTGTCGCAAGAATAACAGCTCCATTTCAGTTGTTCAGACCTCTGTATCTAGTCCAGCTAGTACAAATGAACAATGGATAAATAAAGGTAATGGCTCAGTAGACATTCTTACAGTCTTCTTTAAATATTTTGCTTTAGATAACTCTTGGTATTCAATTCTCCCGCTCACAATAACCCACAGGTCACGTGTTCCCGGTCCGCGGCCCTGTTCGCCACAATCAAGCAGCTATCTCGCTGGTTTATATTTGATTGTTAAAGCACTTTACGTTTTCAATTCAACGGGACAGTTATTTTATTGGCTAGGTAAGGCTAGCATTATGTGAACGCAGATATTTACTAAAAAATAAAGTTACAGAGTATTTTGTCTTTATTCGGTTTATTTGAGGAGTTCACTGACTGTTTATTCTGAAATTTAGAATTTTTTTCATTGCTTCATTTTCAAGTCAATGATTTCCGGCTAAACTTATTTTGCTAAGTCTCTCTGTTCTATGAGCTTCAACCAAGGCTACAGTTTGAACTTTTAATGCATACTGACCTGTTTTTATCCAATTAGGCTTATTTGAGTAATTTTCCAAAGGATTTTTATCATGATCTATCTTTGTTTTATAAGTTCTTCTGAGTAGCTTTCGACGTGGTCAGTTAGTGAAGCAAGCCTGAAGCTTTTAACAACTGTTGTTTACTAGGCTTGTTCGAAGTCAGTGGAGCTTTATTGTTAGGATAATACATTGGGTCGATATGTTGGAAAAATAATGAAACAAGTAGTCAGAACAGAAGCATAAATTTCCTACATCTAGAAAATAGACTGTTAATCTACAATACCCATCTAAACTATCTACCATATATTGGATATCGCCTGAGAAGTATTTTACACTCAGTCGTAAAACCGTAATAACAGAATTTCATCCTTTTATGTAGCCTAAGATAATGAAGTGATGGGATCCAGTTCACTGAATATTGGACTGGGTAACCAGATGATGTACTCTGACCCCTAATTTATTATCGTTGATTCACTAGGACTTAGTAATAAGCATTTTCTAAGCCATACTGTACGAGTATAGATGGATACATCAAACTTACAACCAAATGACCGCAAGTACCTATTCACTGAGAGATCTAAGATTCAAAATTAAATTAAATAAATGCTGGTTGTTTCAGTTTGATTGCAGTTATCCCTTTCATGAGACTCATAATGCAAGCGTGAGTGATTTTATGCAAAAATCTTCAAAAGCTGTTTAAACATCAATTCTGTGACACGTTTCTATGATGTGTTTAAATGTGGATGAAAAGGGTTGTCCACTACCTACGCAAATCAGGGTCTCACACTCCAGCTGTTTTTGAGGGCTGTTTAGGTACATGGTCTCTTACCCTCAACTGCACGATTACTCCTCTTAATGTGTTGGTCCACACACACCTATAAGTTGATAAAGACAATCGGATGTGATGTTCAATTTTGTGATTAAGAATGTTTCGTCTTTTCTAAAAGGATAAGCTTTGCTGTATAGTATGTTTTACTAATGACCGATGTTAGTCACTGTCTGAAAATCACACTCTTCAACCTCCTGTATATGGCAGAGTGTTTCGGACACTTTCCTTGGGAATTGACCATGGAAATGGCTTTGATGTAACCTAACGTTTACAAGCTTTTATTAAATTCAGTAGATACCGTTTTATGTGTTTTGGTTGGTAGTGGAATATCTTCATCTATCGTGTATGATGCACAGATATGTAATTTTTCAAATATCACACGTATATGAATGTACAGCTTGAAAATAAATTCATTAGAAAGAATCTCTTTGCCGAATATCTCGTTCCTTATATACAGGTATAAGAGATCTCATCAAAGAGTCATTTCACAAGACCTTGTTTGAATTGAATTAGACAAAAGCTATGAAAATTTAGATATTAGACTGTACATGTAGGCTTCTGTAAACTGACCTCTTTGAACCATTTTTAAAACTCCAGTACATCTGATAACGAAATATAAAAAATAAAAATAAACTTATACCTCACTGGAATCGGAGAGGTGAAATGACGCCGGTTGGTGAAAGCCTTCAACAAGTTAATTGGCCGATGTGTCTTCTCTCTCTCTCTCGATGAAAGCGAAAGTAAGCATGGGGACATGGAATGTCTGCACAATGTTTGAACCCAGCAAGGCAGCCCAGATTGCAAACAAGATGAGAAGGTATCACATTGAAGTGCTAGGAATTCGCGAAAGTAGGTGGAATGGAAGTGGACTCTCCAAACTGTCATCTGGAGAATTATAATCTACTCCGATATTGTCACCTAGACGACAACACGAGCACAGCACACTGAGTTATGGAGTGGCCACCATGATGTCCCCAACAGCATCGAAGACTCTCTCTCATACAATGGGAACCAATCTCCTCCTGCAGGATCATAACAGCAAGGTTCAACTCAAAGGAAGGAAGGTCACAATCATACAGTGCTACGCTACGCACCTACAAATAATGCAGGGCAAGAGAACAAGGAGGAATTCTACAGACAACTTCAATCAACACTAGACAAGACCCATCTCAGTTGGCGATATCAAAATTCTAATGGGTGAGGTGACATGAATGCCAAACTGGGAGGGAGCAGACAACACAGGAAGAGAACAGACCATGGATCGAGAAGCGCTCGGTGAGGTGATGAACGAGAATGGAGAATTGTTTGCAGAATTCTGTGCATTCAACGATTTGGTGATTGCAGTGAAGCACTGTGTTCAAGCACAAGGATATCCACAAAGTGACACAGATTTGATTTCACCAGACACCAGGACACATACACTAAAAATCAGATCGACTTTATCTCAATCTCAAGAAAGTGGAGAAGCAGCCTACTTGACACAAGGTCAAGAAGAGGGGCAGATGTAGGCTCAGACCACTCACTGTCTAGTGCAAGGAACCTACCCTCAAAATCAAGTTAAAAGCCTTCAAGGAAGCTGGTGATAGACCACACACAGTTCAAGTACAACACTCGGAACAGAAACAGAAGGACGAAAGTACACAGAAAATCTTCACGCCAGCCATCCCATCAAGACAAAATGGGAGATATCGAGGAACATCCCTGAAGAAACCTGTGTGGAAGAACACTGGAAGTCTTTGAAAGAGATGTGGAAGGGAATCTGCATAACCGTATTAGGAAGGAAGAAGAAAGAAGATAAGGAATGGATTTCGATGGACACATGGAAGCTGATAGAGGTGGGAGAGGAGGATGTTGAAGCAGAAGATGAACCAGTGCAAGGATGAACAACGGGAAGAGGAACTGAGTACAATGTATAAAACACTACACTGGACAGAGAAGTGAAGAAGAGTGCGCGGAAAGACAAAAGACACTTTCACAACACACTTGCAAGTGAAGCAGAACAGGCTGCAGGTAAGAGAGGTGGAGACCTGACAACATTGTATCAAATAACCAAGTTACTATCTGGGAAGAGATCAACACACATGAAACCAGTAAAAGATGATGAAGGAAATTTAATTACCAAAGAAGAGAAACAAAGGAAGTGATCGGCCGGCCACTTCAAGAAGCTCTTGAATCTACCACTACCACCACCTGCAACTCGTCCACAAATACCACCTACAACCCAGCAACAGAACTACAAGTCAACATAAATCCTCCAACAAAAGTCGAAGTTCTGAGTGCCATAAAGCTACTGAAATGAGGGAAAGCAGCAGGACTAGATGGAATCCCACCAGAAGCACTGAGAACAGACACAGAGACAACAGCGGACATGCTCACACCACACAACTTTTGCAGAAGGTGTGGAAGGAAGAGAAGGTACCTACCGTCTGTCGATTGGAAGAAGAGTTACCTTGTCAAACTGCCGAAGAAGGGAGACCTCAGTGTTTGCAAGAAGTGGTGTGGAATCACTCCTCTGTCAACCCAGAGCAAGCAAAATATTGATACGCATCATCCTGGAGAGACTAGAGGATGCACTGGATTCAAAACTACGACCGGAACAGGATGGCTGGCTGGCTGGCTGGATTCAGGAAGTAAAAATCATTTGTGGACCAAATTGCAACGCCACACTACCCATCATCATAGAACAGAGTATAGAATGGCAGTCAACTCGATCTCTACCTCAACTTCATCGACTTCGAGAAGGCCTTTGACAGCGTCGACCGAGAAGTAATTTGGAAACTGCTTCAATACTACGGAATACCACAAACCTTTATCAATCTCATTCAACACCAATATATGATGAAGCCATATGCCGAGTAATTCACAATGGAAGCTCAGTGATGCCTTTGAAGTGAAGTGAAGACAGGAGTGAAACAAGGTTGCCTACTATCACCCATGATATTCCTGATTGTGGTCGACTGGACTGGATTATGCAACAAACAGTGAGGAGAGAGAAGAGGGGCATACGCTGGACTGAGGAAAAGAACCTAGAAGACTTGGATTTCGCTGATGACTTGTGTTTGATGTTGCTCAAACTTGAAGATCTGCAGGCGAAAACTAACAAGTTGGTAGAAGAGGCAGCGTAGACGGGACTCCCTTCAAGTGAATATAGAGAAGACAGAGGTGATGAAGATACTCAACCAACAACACCACCAACAACAACAAACTCCAATCACCATCAACGGGAGAAACTTACACGAAGTAGCCTCCTTCACCTCTCTACTCTAGGAAGCACTGTTTCAACTACAGGCAGCACAGGCACAGACGAGGATGTCAAAGTCAGAATCGGAAAACAGCAAGATAGGCGTTCATTAGCCTGAAACCAGTGTGGAGATCGTCTGCACTGCACTGAGCATGTGGAACAAGATCCGGATTTTCAACACCAATGTCAAGTCAGTGCTCCTGTATGGTTCAGAGACTTGGCGAGTTACGAAAGTGATTTCCAACAAACTACAGATATTCATCAACAACTGCCTACACTGGCTCGTTACTGAAGATCAGATGGCCAGAATAATGGGAATAAGCAACAAGGAACTCACTGTGGCCAGGCAACCAACCAACTAAGAACCTATAACCTAACAAATATGCAGAGGAATGAAGTGGAGATGGAATGGACTGAGCATACACTGAGAAGGTTGACTGTTGACATCACGCTTCAGGTCTGGCCCTCTAGTGGAACCTTCATGGGAAACGACGAGTTGGGTGTCCGAGTCGAGGGTGACATGTAGGAGATCGTGCGAGTAGGAGATGAGAGGTTGTGGGCTGTTGTGGAGTCAGGTTCAAAGATTTCAGAGAAGAGAGTTCACTGTAGACGTGCTAGTGAAGCCCTATGTTCCATTAGGAACCCAAGGGACTCATAGTATAAAATAATATTAATATTAATAATAATAATAATAATAATAATAATAATAAGGTGACAACAACTCTCTTCATCCATAGTTAAACATATCATACAAATATTTCACAGAACTAATCTCCAAATGACTTTCAAAGTCTATCACTGATTAAGAAAATGTGACTGGGATAGCGTGAGCGTATTTTACAAATCAAACATTCGGAAGTCAGTCAAGGGTAGCAGATATGGTAAAGAACGTGTAATACGTTCTCATAAATGTATTCGCAGCTGCTTTTGGTTTTGTTATGACAGGATCTTTGTCTAGACCATCTTTCTATTTATTTTCAGTTTATTAAAGATGGATATACATTGTCTTTGGTTTGCGATGAACTTGAAATTACCAGAAGATCGCAATCTGTCTTGGAGGTAGTTTCTTTCGTTGGAATCCCAATTCAACAGAACACAGCAAACAGACTACAATGAACGATCATCTCGTCACCGTTTAACACTTAGTGACAATGGTCAAGATTTCATAAACCCAAAAGATATGATGAAGCGACTCCATCAAAAAATAGTCCAACTATTCCATGTTATGCTACACTACATCCTGGAAAGTTTCTAAGTAATCATAACGAAAAGTTTTATGCTATTTGGAGTTTTGGAATACGGAAATCTAATGGAAATAATAATTCAGTGGACAGTTCTCATGAGAATTTATTTATCTCGAGGTAGTTTTCGTCGCGGATTAAAGAAGGTAGTAATAAACCTGAAAGCACCAGACAGCAAATTTGTCTTAGTTTAAGAATATTCATCAATCGGCATCCACTTCTTCTCGAGGTAGGAAGCTGGGAACTGTTAGTTATAAATTAAGAAACTATCACTTGTTAGGTCAGCTAAGTCAGGTATATAGTTAAATCACCATCTGTAGCATTAGATGATCACGCCAAATTATGGTCTGACAAAAGGAGGATAACGTGAACCACTATAATTAAACTCATTGACTGAATGATAATCCAGCTAACACGCTATCTCATGACCCTCTTCTCAAACGACGATAAAAAGGTACTTTGAAAAATTGCTTCCTAAATATATTGTGATTGATGATGACCTAGTTTCCATAAAATAGAATTCGAATAATGTGTTATTATCCATCATGCTTTTATAAGCCTCCTAGAAGTCATCCTTACAACCAAACCTTTTTCCACTACTTTATTGTTATGCTTAATGAGTTGTTTCACAAACAGGATAACTCAAATAGTGGTCTTTCACAGTGAAAACATGATCTAAGCAGAACTTTTCTCTTTCAACAGGTTTTTAGGTCAAACGACAATATTTTTTGGACCACAACTCTTAACTGACCTGTTAGCTGGTACACACTGGTATCAAAGTGGAAATTTTCCCCGCGTTACATTCTGTGATTTGGATATGCGAAGAATGGGAAGTAATTATCATCGATATACCCTACAGTGTGTCTTAGGCATAAACATGTTTAATGAGAAAATCTTCATTTTTCTTTGGTTCTGGTTTACTGGCATAACACTAATGAACGTACACAGCTTCCTACATTGGTGTTGTAGGTAAGTGTTCGTTAAATTCAGACTGATTGGAGTGATCAAAGGTGATAGGTTTAATACATTTGTGCTTATTATTACACTGGAATCGATTTGTTTGTGTACGCTTGTTGTAGGTCGTTGTCAAAAATTGTTTAAGAGTCATGCAATATAATGTACTGTTGGTAAGAACACCTTTTACAATGATTTATGGAGTATTTCTACAAGTGACAGGCCTGAGATTTGGAATACTTCACTGACGTTTAATTTTCCGTCTGTACTGAAAATTGGTATTTCTCATATTCTTGTAAACAACATAAGGCTCATATATGGAAGGATTCTGTTCATGAAATTCATGTTTTAAAAAGGAGAATGTCAGTGCTTACAACACACACGACCTAAACATAGGATACTTACTTTCATTATGACTCTAACTACTTATATGTGCAGTTAGTAGATATCATCATTATGACAGTTAGGAGTTAACATTGTGTTTTTCCTTCACGGGTGATTCATTTGTCAAGCAAGAGCTGAGTACCACAAATTTCAATTTATTTGCTGTTACAATTTACGTTCATTTTCAGTATGCATCATAAGTTCATTATTATTCTACAGTACCTTCATTCATATATATGCATTTAATTAGGATTCATAACCCACAATAATAAACGTCTAACACCTCCAACCATATGGTTGCTTTTATGAGGGAATCTCTCTGAGTAGTAGTAGTAGTAGTAAGGTAAAATCATTGTACTAGTAGAAATGTTTTTAAGGAAGTGGTTAATATCAGAATGTCATCAGGAATTTTGTAGACTAGACATATTCTGAGAATGAATCGATATTTAATGAATCTACATTTGGCTAGTGCTAGGTTTCAGGTAGTGTTGCTGTCACTTCTATACCATTCAACTGAGCTCTTTTAAATAATTGAATAAAATATTTAAAAGTCATAGAATTTTACTTCAAGCTTTATTCATCAATTTAAGTGCACCTTCCATTGCAGATGTCCTGAGTGAATACAGTAACAAACTTTGACTTACTATCTTGGAGATATCTCAGGAATTAAGGCATCAAATGATCTAACTGCATTAACAGCTGGGTATGTTTCACTAATAGGAAAGGCTTATTAGTTGGATATCAATAGTTGTTTCAAAATATGGATTGGACAATATTATTTTTGTATACAGTGATTAAAGAGGAGAACAACCAGATTAAAAGGTTAAGAACCGACGCTGAGAATTATGACGCCAGTAGTTAGCCTTGAAGATGACTGTTATAATTCACTAAAAACTAATGACGACTGATAAGTTTGACAACTTATATTGATGCTTGTTCTTCGCAATTTCTGAATGCCTTATATTCTACCGATGTTGGATCAGTAATTAAATGGAATAAATTTACTTCTTGGATGCAACATGAATAGCGATCATCCTAATAACAATTACTTAGGCGACCTCAAAACATTTTGGGCTACCGAAAAGTTTCCATTGTATACATTGCATGAGATTACTCCTTTTCTACTTCTTTTGATTAGTTAAATGTCAGCAAATCGTAAAACCTGCTCTCATACATTTTCAGAATGCTTCCAACCTATCATCACACAAGTTAGCAATAAAATCATAAAACCGATGAAGGTTGATGGCAGTGGCTCTTGAGCGCAGAAGATTCCATCACACAACCATAACAGGAATAGTCAGCAGGAACTGCAAAGTTTTATACTGGCTGAATGATCCCTCACCACCTTTTCTATTTGTCCTCCCTGCGACAAGGAACCCACAAACTGGACGATAACCTAAAAACAACTAGTCGTTATGTATTATTGCCTATCATACTGCTGTTATTTAACATTATTTACCTGTGATGATAATAAGTTTCAAATACCTTATAACGAGTAAATTTTTGAAACATCACACTGAGAATTCCATAACGCATTAAAAACTATTGTGTGGTATAAAGTGATTATTATTATCGTGGATAATCCCAAGTTTTTGTTTGTAGGTGTCGACGACTAACTAATATATATATATATATATATATATATATATATATATATATATATATGCCTGCGATAATCACCTTATTTCAACTGACTCGCCTGTAAGGCCTTTACTGTTCAGCAATAATAGAAATCCATTTATATGAGTTGTGTTGTATATGGCTTACTTTCCATGACGTATATTTTGCCTACATTTGTTTTACTATCTTCTAGATCGACTTTTCAAACAAGTAGAGCATGCTTCATAAGAAATTTATTGTTCAATAAAGCTCAGAATGCTGGTGATACCAAAGCCTCAGATGGAACACAGCATGCTGAATGTCAGTCAACAGGTCATCAGTCATCAACACGCACGACTCATTCCATACCTTCAGACATCAATCAGGAACAATTATCATTAGCTGATAAAAAAGCTTCAGCTTTTTTCACTGAGTATGTTTTGGGACAAGATGGAGTATTTGTTCTGCGCTTGATTGCATTAAATACTGGTCGACATATTGCAGCTAAAATTGCTTGTCTTATATGGACCATTATAGGCTTGTGAACGCTACATCAAAGTATTCACGTACAACAAAGAAATCAATACCGAGTACTGAAAGAACACAGGATGTTACTCCGATCAATGCAACACAGGTGTCTGATATTGTTCAAACTCCACCTATTCCAGAAAGAATGGATAAAATTAGGCATGCTGAGGGAGTAAATCCATCCACATCATCTTTTAGTGAATCAGACCGTATTATTCGAGTAAGAGCAATGAATATTGCAAATGCAGCAGGAGAAATCAGTCAGTGTTCACGAACTTCACAATCACAGTCTACATATAGTTCTGGCAATTTTTTTAACAGTCACTATGATCACTGTTCACATTCCGATAGAAATTCGTCAATAATTCAGGCATCCGAATTTTAAATCAACCGAAGAATCTTGTTTAGATATTTTTTACACATACATTTCTCAAAAAACAGTACAAAAAAGATTTATAACAATGTTCATTTTTATTGTTTCAACTAAATGTGATAAACATTAACAAGGGTATCTGGCTTTTTTTTCCAGTTATTCAAGTAACATAATCAAATGCATAATATATCCATTGAGTTTCATAGTTTTATTCATTTCATCTATATCTTAGCCTACTACTATTTTTAAAGCTAATTACAATATGCTTGTGACAATGAAAGATGATGTAATTTCAATACAGTATTTGTTGGTAATGAAATAGGTTTTCTTTATCGTATTGTATAAAATAATATGTGTTGTAACATCAATATTAAGTTTATTGAAATTAAAATGACATCTTCAGGAAGTGATCAGTTTATACCGCAAAATTTAAATCACATGTAAATACAAATTACTCAGTGGTAGTTAATACAAGAAACCGAATGCGGTGAAATTACCAGCTTCCATATTAGATTACTTATTTAATACAGCACACTGCGATACATGCAGTAAGATAGGTAAGGGGTATCCTGTTTAATTGGCTCTACCGGATGTTTTCTTTCTCAGTGGGTTTAAGTGCCACTCTAATCCCAGCATTATTAGCAATTCTACCGAAGTAACTTCTTTATTTGGCATCATTGCTCTTACATTAGTGAAATTACTTACTGTTTACTTTCTTGTTCAGCATGTTGAGCATATTTTTATTGATGAAACTGTGACAGCTGGAAATATGTCATGGTGATGTATGCAACAGACATATATATGCATACAATGGAGGCAATTCCAAGGAATCTTGCCTACGTGTGCATGGCAGCAGACGCATTTAGCAACCTGGTAAGGCCTGGCAGTAGAGACTCGAAAACACACAAGATACATAATGACCCTGAACAATCTGTCAGAATTCTCAAAAATGTATTAAACAAGAAAATTCGCTAGTAAGATGTCTTATAGTTATGTAAAGCACTGCTTTTTATTCAGGAGTCAATAGGCAACAGTTTACGCCCGTACGAGTGAAGTTTCATTCCGTTGTGGTGCAGAGGTGTGTTCAGTAATCTCATTCTGTTTATAAACTTTATGTTGTTGATGCTAGAATATTAAATAATTGCAATTCTTATTTAGTTGGAAGATTTTCGCTTTCAGTTTTTCATAATAATTACTGAGCACCTAAAAATTATTGACAAGATTTATTTGAGATAGCCATGATTTGGCAGACTAGAGTTATTTATACTACGTGATTAGTGAGGGCCAATGAAAACACAGGTAGCCGAAAGATTTCAACTACAATAATGATAACTAAAGAAAACGTTTCTCTGAGAAATGTGGAAAACCTATGCAATATATTTCTAGTAATCTTACCACATATTTGCTTGTCAAACCAATTGATATAATTAGGAAATATCATAGGACGAGTTAAACAATTATGATAACAAAGAGTTTACAAAAGGAAGGCTACAAAAGCTCGGAAAGCGATTTTTGATCCTAATTTTTACAATAAGCGCAGAATAGGACTACTGAGGTAACTACTGTCTGAAAACAGACTATTTTTGTTCCCACCAGAAAATTAGAAATATTTGTATCTAAGGTGGATGATCTTAGTGTTATTGAGTTCTGTGAAATAGATGGTTGGTTCGCAAAGCTTTCATTTTATTTATAGACAACATCATCAGCTATAGCTTCAACACAGTTTCTACTAATTTTTATTATGATATCACTTATTGTGGAGCATTTTCATGCATGTGGATATATTAGAGGTTGAATCATCCACAACGGTGGAATAAAAATAACACTACGCAGAGTTCAAAATAAAGGTTTAAAAAGAGTCCATTCTGGATTACATTGGCGTACAAATTTGTTAGAATATGCATCTTTTAAAGCTTTTTATCTTACAGCGAAACTAAGATAAATCCCAGTGACTTTGTTCCTAAAATTTAAATTTACTTTTTTTAACAGCATCTTTTAACATAAATATTTGTGTGCATAATTCTAAAACTTCATGGGATACTAACTTTGTGTTAGCAGAAAATGCAGTCCGTCAAATTCGTTAACAAGCATTTGTAACTAAAAAGCTTTCCACTAGTTATTTAAATTACATCATGTGTATTTATTACGTTGATCTTTGAAGTCATTCACCTTTAAATTAACTTCAGTGTTTATTGTTTTATATTGTTTTTCTTTAAACATTAATGATTCGAAATTTATTGGGTCCCGAAGAATGACAACTGTGTGTCGTGTTAATGAAGAATCCATCATCACTGTGGTATTCATCATCTGTCCAATAAGTAGAAAGCAATGTCATGCACACACAAGCATACAAAAACTTTAACTTTAATAACAATATTTGACTGTAACCTGTGAGTTTAGATTTCTTTCAAAATAAACGTGTTCTAAAAACAGGACAACACAATCTCTCAAATTGTTATTCCCATTTTCTACTTCAAAAAATGTTTCTCACTTACCTGTTTCTTGTGATACTTACAATGGATATTACAAAAAGTAAAACTTAGTAGGTTTCTAGTTTATACTTGGAAGTTTAGTGGTTTGGCGTTCTTCAGGTTTTGTTTCCTTAGTCCGAAACCAGCATGGTAGGCATTAACGAAATAAAAGAAGAACTTACGCTAACATCAATCTAGTCACTTTTTTTGTATGTATTTTTGGCCTTTCTGAATATGCATATTATAACTGGAAAATATTAACGCGTATATATCTACAACAAATATATGTCTTGATGGTATCCAAGTCGTTTCACGCACAGATTAGAAGGAGGAAACCGAAAAAATTGTTTAAATGTCAACGTTGCTTGAAATTGAATCTAAAAATGTCAATATCTACTGCTGTAAGGCTACTGTGAAAATGTCAAGGCTAACTTGTTCTATAATATCAGGTCAGGAGTTATGACCACGAGGAAGTGAAATATAGCTAACAGTGAAATCTTATTAAATTTTGTTGCATGACTGTTCTTTTCTAAATACATAATAAGGAACCCTCAAGTTTTTCCGCTGAAAAATACCGAAGCACAAGTGGAAAGCTGACCATTGTACTGTTTTGAACCGTCATAAGACTAGGTTTTATTTTACGGAGTAAGTAAGAAGTTCACATGCATGAGAAATTGCAACCACATAAGTATGTCAAAAACTTGAGAAACTTTCGTACGGATATTCAAGTTTGGGTTTGTTCATGCGGGCTTACACCGATTGTTGCAACATCATAATATGCGAAGCCTTTGAAGAAACTACTACGAAAATAGGAACTGAGTACAGCCCATAAAAGGCTGGACAAAGAAATGAAAAAGAGTGCGCGCAAAGACAAAAGACACTTCTATGGCACACTTGTAACTGGAGCAGAACAGGCTATAGGTAAGGGAGACCTGACAACACTATATCAAATAACCAGGTTACTTACTGTCTGGTAGGGGAGAGGTCAACGCAAACGAAACCAATGAAAGATAGTGAAGGAAAGCTAGATACCAAAGAGGAGAAACAAAAAAACGAAGGACTGACAGCTTCAAAAACTCTTGAATCGACCACTACCACCACCTGCAACTCATCTAGAAATACCACCAGCAGCCCAGCCATAGGACTACCAGTGAACACAAGCCCTCCAACAAAATCAGATGTGATGTCCTGAAAGCCATAAAACTGGTATAATTCATGAAAGCAGCAGGACTAGATGGAATTCCTCCAGAAGCTCTGAAGACAGACTCAGAGACAACAACAGACATGCTCACACAACTATTGCTAAACCTTTGGAAGAAAGAAAAGGTACCTGCAGATTGATTGGAAGAAGGGCTACCTTGTCAAACTCTTATAGAGGGGCGACCTGAGTCTTTGCAAGAAATGGGGCGGAATCATGCTCCTGTCCCTGTCCACTTCAAGCAAAATATTGAGACGCATCATCCTGGAGAAACTAAAAAAAATACTCTGCACTCAAAATTACAACCAGAAAAGGCTGACTGTCTCCAGGAAGAACAAATCATGTGCGGACCGAATTGCAACGGTTCAGTTGGACGTAGAGAAGACAGAGGTGATGAAGATACCCAACCAACACCAAATCAAGCACTGATCACATTTAATGGAAGAAATCTGAAGGGGGTTGTATCTTTTACCTACCTACCTGGGCAGCATTGCTTCAACTGTAGGTGGCAGAGATGAGGATGTCAAAACCAGGATTGGAAAGACAGCAAGACAGGCCTTCATTCACCTGAAATCAGTGTGGAGACCTACTGCACTTAGCATAAAGCATCAACAACATCCTGATTTCCAACACTAATTCAGTCAAGTAAGTCAGTGCTTCTGTTTGATAGTTGACAGATTCGGCGCATCACCAAAAGCATTTCCTTCCAACAAACTACAAACACTCATCAACAACTGCCGTCTACACTCACTCCACACTGACACTGAAGATCGATCAGATGGACAGAATAATAAGAATAAGCAACAAGGAACTCACTCTGGCCAGGCAACCAACCAACCAACCAACCAAGAACTCATCACCCAACAAATATGCAGTGGAAGTAAGTGGAGATACATTGGATTGGACATACACTGAGAAGACCACTCGGGGACATCAAGCGTCAGTCCAGTCTCGAGAGTGGAACCCTCATGGGAAACGACGTGTTGGGCATCCGAGGCGAGGGTGACATGGAGGGTATCGTGTGAGGAAGGAATGAAAGGTCGTGGGGAGTGGTGGAGTCAGGTTTAAAAGACTGCAGAGAAGAGGGTGAAATGGAGACGTGCTACTGAAGCCTTATGTTCCACTAGGAACCCAAGGGACAAATCATAAAATAATAATAACAATAATAACGGTGGTTCTACAAAAAGGTATTGGGTGATACCAAAAGAGAATGGCAGCTGAAGCCCTACATATATGTGCAAGTTCAGACAGTTTGAACAGACAAGATGGAGTACAGTTAGCTGCATCTTAGCAATTACTAATTAATAAGCAGAAAGAGTGACTCAAAGCATTGACCATCAACA